TAGTTCTAGTTTTACACTAGCACTGTTACTATGTAGAACTAACACTATACCTAGAACTAGAATCATTTGGATTTAGCCGCACGTCTTTAAAGACGGCTAAACCCGAATGATTCTAGTTCTAAGTATAGTATTAGTTCTAGTTTTACACTAGTACTATCACTAAAAGTAACACTATACCTAGAACTAGAATCGCACGTCTTTAAAGACGGTTACGTTCATAACAACAGCGTTCATAAAAGGTTGGATAAACCTTATACAGTATGTTTACTCAACGGACCTTGATTCTGTGCATATTGGTAACTCGTGATAAGATGGCGGATTTTAAATCGAGGTCACAAAACAAGATGCCGCCAATATCAAACGAATCGACGTCAGTGTCACTTCTGGTTATTCTGTGGTAAAGATGCCAAGTCTCTTATAAGAAGACATTTATCCTCAAACAGCCGAGGTCGCTTGCCGTAGAGTCTTTCAAAGCAGACGTTTTTTTTGTTGATATATCAAATCTACCGTCTCGACCGCAGGCAACCTCGGCGATTTGAAGCGAAATCGTTTTTCATATAATTTGGTAAAGATACAAAATCTTTTATAAGAAATATTTACCCTCACTCCGCCGAGGTTGCTTGCGGGCGAGGCGTTGGAATCCTCTAAAACTGATGCTTAGGCGTGGATATATCAAATGCAAGCAACCTCAACGATTTGTGGCGAAATTATTTAAGATGTAATCTCTAAGAAGACATTTATCCTTAAACAGGCAAGGGTGAGAAAATCTTGAAAAGTTACAGTAAGATTATCGATATATATTTCTTGGGATTAAAACCACTTAGAATCTTGTACTATTATTAAGGAAAAGATTCAATTTTAAGATAAGTTTTAATTTTTTTCCAACTCTTGGAGAATTTAACCTACAAAATAGCAAAAGATCACAATAATCTTGGTAATCAAAAAGTGAAGTGAGTGAACGGAAGAAAATACTAATAATAATAAGAAAACGTTTTGCGATTTCGTGCCTGATCAAGACCCGGTTTTTGATTAATCTCGAAAGCCTCCCGGGTGGGAAGCAATCTATTTACCAAAGTGTCAAGATTTTTATCTAATAATAACCGGTATTAAAGACAATTTCTTTCTAGAAATTTAAGAGAATGAAAGTTTCCGTTTTAAATCATGAAGCGGAATTTCATAGGAAATTGTTTTAAAAATGTATTTTTTTTGCATCAAGTCGCGGATAACTGTTATTTTAAGCTTTTGCCTCTTAGGTGTGTACAGAAACGAACGGTTCAAAGATATTCAGTAAAACGGAACGATTTAAAACCTGTTGCGAGTACACGGCTCGAGGCATAAATTACCCTTCCAACCGTTTTGCACATTAATTTCAGTTAGAAATTCCAAACGAGTTTGTTATTTATCGAGTTCTATATCGTTCAAAGTGGTGTGAGTAATAACATGACAGAGTAAAAATATGTTTTACGCAAGACGCGAACCGATTCAAGAGTAAAATTGAATGAGAATATTTGACCTGGTTTTCTTGTGTATCTCGTCAATCTTTGAAAGAATTACGGTGGTAATTATTATTACATATTATAGATAAATAATAAAATAAGTTTAAAAAAACTAAAATAGAACGAGACAATTTTGCAATCAATTTTGCTTTCAAAACACTAATAATGTGATTATTCGCAGTTCTTTTTTAAGTAAATCGTTCTGTTTATTGCTAACTTTATTTAACCTCTATGGAGAGACCTTTCACTCTTAATAGAAACATTCACATAACAAGTTTTTTTTTCTGCTAATATTTAAAACACCTGGATTGTGTCCATGTAATATTTACACATATGCAAATTAAATGATTCACTCTCTATATCTATATTTAGTCGTTTTTTATTAACAAACTTTCGTTTGGAATTGACATTTATTTTAAATGAAAAAAACATTAATACATCGTTTTGCTTTTAAGGGAAAAACAAAAAAAATATTATTTAAAAATCGTTTAAAGAAATCTAAGAACCGAAACGAAGTTGTTACATAATTATTAAGGATATCTAACAAAACGGTTACAGAAACATGAACAAGTAGATCAACCATCATTAAATACCACGTCTATAATAACTACAACTTAATAATGTAGAGTCCGGTGTTAAAGGTGTTATTAAATTGAAATCCGTTCGTCTGGAGTTGTTGTGGTGAACGTTTTCAAAATGGTAGGAGGTGCACCTCGTCTCATTGTAGGACATCCGAAGTAAAAGGTGTTTTATAAAATAAGAAGTCATTATTAACGTTGTATCAAAATTCTGTACAACCTTTGTTTTGTATTTATGAAACATATATGAAGATAGGCATTTACCCATAAATGGCCCTAGCTGTTAATGTAATTACAATCAAATCGCGTCATTGGCACCAAAATATATAAAATCTTCGCCTGTAAGCGACCTCGGCAATATACTTATAAGACATCACTTCGCCGAGGTTGCTTGCGGGCGAGGTGCTGAATTCCTCTAAAACTGATGATTATGACAACATTAATTCCTGCTGGGGCGTTTTCAAACGCTGGGTAGCTTTGTTTTGACATGATGTCAATTGCAGGGCTTCGGCTTAATTAGGTAAATAAAATCCAACGTCATCTGTTGTTGATTTGGCCGAGGTTATTCCTTGTTTGGACGTTTCCAGCCGATGGACAGCAATCAAATGTATAGAGTCCTAGAAGAGTAGTTTGCAGAGCATGTTCTGGCTTTAAGGTATTGAGAGGTCATCGTTTATCGGTTCTAATGTTGCTCTTCCTTTATCCGAATATTTGTTGATTGAAAATTAAAATGAAATATATAATATATGTTAATGTCTTGAATCAATAAAAAATCTTTATATTTGTTTCCCCTTTTTTTCAAAGAAGATGAAATCTTTAACAATTATGATTATTTATGTGTGTCTTAAATCTTCTCAATGCTTTTGATATCACCTATACAATCAACGAAGTAATTGTCAAATGTGGCAGTTATTAACCTCCTCTTTTATCAACTTTATCAATAACACCCATCAAAAAATGAGTTTTTTTAATCGTTGGCGATACTCTTGCAAAGAAAACTGGTTAAAATGTTGTAAATTTACTTATAACAAAGAAACGGGTGAATGTTTAGGAAGATCGTGCAAGAAATGGTTATCATTATTGGCATTTTACCTGTTATACGTCTTATTCACTTTAAGCGGTTTTTTTGGAATTTTATTCGTAATGGTACATATCATGGAGGAACAGGGTTTGGATTCCTTAAAAAGTAAATTAACTTTATTTACCGGCGCTTGTCCTGGATTAGCGATCATACCGAAATTATCGTTACAAAAAGCACCACTTTTGTGGTACAAATCGGACGATCCGAAAACGCAAAATGAATACGTCGAAAAAATCGATCAATTTTTAGCCAAATATGATGGTAATAAAACAGGAAGTAACGTTTATGTGGATTGTTCGAAAACGAAACGAAGACGTGGACAATATTGTACTTTTACTAGAAACGATTTGGGACCATGTGGTAATTCAAGTTATGGTTATGATAGTTTTCAACCGTGTTTTTACATAACATTAAATAAAATTATTGGTTGGGATCCAAAAGATTATCGACCTGAAGGAAGCTCTGATTCTGATCGTATTGAAAATGAAATAATTATGGTCACTTGTAAAGCGATTCATCATTATGATGCAGAACATCTTGGACCAATCAAATATTATCCTACCAATGGGTTTCATGAGTATTTCTTCCCTTACGATGGTTCTGATTTGTATCTTCCCCCTGCCATAGCTGTACAATTTCCGGAAATGAAAACCGGTTATGTTATTGGTATTAAATGCCTAAGTTATGATGTTGGAATCAATCGAGATAATGAGGCTTATTACACTGATACCGTTTATATGTATATTAAAAACTAAGATTTAAATAAATCAAAAAATTAATTGTCTTGTTAGGTTAAAATTTTTGACACTTAAACGTCAAATGTCATTTTGACGTTTAATACTGAAAATTATATTTTGGCGAAATTTTTTTAATTAAAAAAAACTTACCTGTTAAAGTCCATTCGTTTCGAGATGAATTGTCACAAAGTGTTGACCAATCTAGTTCTAATTCATCAAAAGACGCCATATTTTCGATAAACCCACAAAAAAAAATGTTAAAATTTTCAAAAAAAATTTGTTCACTCAAAATACTTGTTTAAACCATCGACTCCATATGGGTTTTCGAATATTTGTTGATTAATTAATTAAAAATAAATTGTTAATGGAGATGATTCTTGAAAAAGAATGTTAAGCACATGGTTTTCACGAAGACCGTTTTTCGAAATGAGTGAAATAGTGTCCGACCACAGAACGTACTCCGGTCGAAGTTATCCATAGAACTGGCTCCGATACCTGTTTTGAGCCGAGTTATAACCACAAAAAACCGATTTATCACGCGCAGGTCAATCATTCTCTCTTTTAACAAAAATCTTCGAGGGGACATCTCAAAAACGATCTATTTTAATCGTATTACTTCTAAAACTATAAAATATTAAGTAAAATTCGAATTTTGATTTAAAAACGTTACGATTAACACACTCATTTCAAAACAACACCACCATCTCTACTTAACAGTATTCAACATCTAATTTCAGATTGATATAACATACTTAAATTTAAAAGTGATTATTAAACATTATTTAGAATAAAACTAGATTAATTTAAATGGAAAATATAGTTATGTTTAAATTATATACAAAATTTTAAAGAAACTAAATTTATGAAAAGAAAAATAAAATAAACCAAGAGGTGGCGCTGTTATAAATTAAAATTTAGCGATTAAAACATAAATATTTAAAATACAATTACAAAACATTTGTTAATTAAAATTAAATTATGTAGTACTTTCTAATAATTCATTTAAAATATGTATTAAATTCGACCAGAACTTGTAACTAACTTAACTCAAAACTGTTAATTTACATCGATTGACAGATAAGAAACTTCTAACCTAACTTTTTTGTATTAAAAATCGCTTAAAATGTCTTTAGCTGATGAATTATTAGCGGATTTGGAAGAAAACGATGATCAAGATGATTTTGAAGATGGTATCGAGCAGGAGATTCCTGATTTTAAGCCGGAAGAAATCAAAAATGAGGTTATGGAACAAGACACAACCGATATTTCTAGTGTACGTGAATTGTGTAAATTAAGAGATTCGGATCATTTGAAGAGTATAATAAACCAAGTGAGATTGTTTGCTAATAAAGTTCGAAAATCGTCGGATATAATAGGACCGGTTGAATCAGATCCTGAGTACCAATTAATTGTTGAAGCAAATAATACAGCCGCTGATATAGACAATGAAATTGTGGTTATACACAAATTTGTTAGGGATAAATATCAAAAACGGTTTCCTGAATTAGATTCTTTAGTTGTTGGTAGTTTGGAGTATGTTAAAGCGGTGAAGGAGTTGGGTAATGATTTGGATCAAGCAAAAAATAATGAAATTTTGCAACAATTTTTAACACAAGCAACTATTATGGTGGTTTCTGTTACTGCTTCTACAACACAGGGGTAGAATAATATAAAATAAACTTTTCAAATGTAAAATTCATCTTTATTTTTTAGAATCTATTTATCACAAGTTGAACTTGATCAAATAAACGAAGGTTGTGACATGGCAATTGAATTAAATAATTACAAAACTCAAATATATGATTATGTTGAAAGTAGGATGGCTTTTATAGCGCCAAATATCTCAATTATAGTTGGAGCATCAATTGCTGCTAAAATGATGGGAGTTGCTGGAGGTTTAACAAAACTATCAAAAATCCCTGCTTGTAATGTACAACTATTAGGACAACAAAAAAAAACTGTTAGTGGATTTTCACAAGCTGTGACAACATTACCACACACAGGATTTGTTTATTATGCGGAAATTGTTCAAAATACTCCACCAGATTTGCGAAGGAAAGCATCAAGATTAGTTGCAACTAAATGTACCTTAGCCGCCCGTGTTGATGCATGCCATGAAAGCCCAGATGGAAGAATTGGAAGATTACTTCGAGATGAAATTGAAAAAAAATTAGATAAATTACAAGAACCACCGCCAGTTAAATTTGTTAAACCTTTACCAAAACCAATTGAGACAAGTAAGAAAAAAAGAGGGGGAAAACGAGTTCGAAAAATGAAAGAAAGATACGCTATGACTGAGTTAAGGAAACAAGCTAATAGAATGAATTTTGCAGAGGTGAAAATTAATAATAAATTTGATGTACTAATTAAATTTTGGATATTTTTTAGATTGAAGATGATGCATACCAAGAAGATTTAGGTTATACCAGAGGCACAATTGGAAAATCTGGTACTGGAAGGGTCCGGTTACCTCAAGTAGATGAAAAAACCAAAGTAAGGATCTCAAAAACGCTCCAAAAAAACCTACAAAAACAACAAGTTTGGGGAGGAAGTACCACCGTTAAAAAGCAAATATCTGGAACTGCGTCAAGCGTCGCTTTTACACCTTTACAAGGGTTAGAAATTGTTAATCCCCAAGCAGCGGAGGTTAAAGTTAATGAAGGTAGTGCTAAATATTTTTCAAGCACCTCTGGCTTTTTAAAAGTTAATAAAAATTAATTTAATTGTAACACTGTATTAAAATAAAAATACTTTTTTTTAAATAATAATTTGATTTTTTACAAAAAAAATGAATACAATTTAAGTTCCAAAAATGAGTACAACCCCATTTTGACAAGCACCTGCAATATTTGGATCTTAATCACCATGGTAACCGAGTCAAGTTGGATAACCTTAAAATAATAAAATTTTATTCCGATTTTTTTTTATCAATTCTAACCTTTTATTAATTTTAAAACAATTCGAATTCTTTACGATTATCACGCATTCCTAAGAAATTCGTTAATTGTAGTCAATTTAAATCGATTTTAATTAGGGGAAATAAATTAAAAATATCTTTTTTTGATTTAATTCACTTACCTTGTTTATAATACCCTAGCTAAACCAATTTTGTATTAAATACAGCCTTTTAAACCAATTAAATAAGACTTTTTCCTTAAAAAAACTTAAATTCAACTTCAATTTTGACAAGCACCTGCAATATTTGGATCTTAATCACCATGGTAACCGAGTCAAGTTGGATAACCTAACAATAATAAAATTATAACCGTTAATATTTCGCTTTATATTTTAAAATGTTTTAAATTTTATTTTTATATTTTTGTATATTGCTTCTTAAGTGAAATACATAAATAAAAACATAGAAATGTCAATTCTTCCAATGACGTCACAGCAAGGCCTTTGCGAGAGGATACGTTCATAAGGAGTTGGATAACCTTATACAGTATGTTTACTCGCTTTACTCAACAGACCTTGGTTTCTAGTTCTAGTATTAGTCTAGATCAGCAGTTCCCAACCTTTTTGACTTGTTGAGCCCTTTTTAAAATCAATTTCTATGGCGGAGCCCCTTATACCTACCTTGCTTATCGGCTGGTCTAGATTATTGTATACTTTTTATTGACATGAGTTGGTAAATTACAACACTATATAAAAATACTGTTTTTAAATAAAAATTTCATTTATTTTCCTTTTATTACAAAAAAAATGAATAGAATTTAACTTCAAAAAATGGGTACAACCCCATAACCTCAATATTAATCAGCTTTTGAACCCTTCACTGATTCATCTTTAAAATGCAAGAAAACGAACGAAAATACAAACAATCCAAACATCATTGAAAAAGCGCTTACATAATAAGGATAAGCACTTGGAATAAACCTTTCATATTGAGTATGTTGTAACGGTCGAACAGAAACTTGAGTCGTACTATATAAACGCGTGTATCCCACCCGGTTATAATCTACTTTAAATTGGTAAACCCCATAAACATCGGGTATTTTAAATTTAGCCTCATAAAGACCATCTTTTGTATGCTTCAATGTTGTTCTAATAAACGGATCAATTCTTACAAATTCTAATTGAATATCTGTAGCTTTGTATGGGATCCAGTTGGTTTTATCGAAAATATCAATTTCAATGGTATAAATCTAAAACATTAATCAAAATTAAAAAATGAATCAATTTCAAAAAAATAAATTTCACATACCACTTCTTCCATGATTGTGTAATCTCCAGGAGCTTCCTTTTCACCAATTTTATGATGTTTAATACTTTTAACTCTTAATTCGCCGGTTTCCTTAAAAACCCATTGACTAATAGCCATAGCAGTTAATTGGTTTCCAGATTTGTCAAACTTTTCACCACCTTGCGATTTTTGAACGCCCGCAGTAAAGAATTCATCAGAAAAGAAAGATAAGGAACCACTAAAAACAACTCGAGCATTGTTTCGGGCTTGTAAAGCTGCAATTAAAACGGTGCTTTTCCCAATAGCATGAGGATACTAATAAAAAAATATTAATGAAAATGTTGCTTTTATCTATTATAAAACTACCTCTTTAATAGGTTGATTTGGGTTGTAACTATATGAGGTGCTATCCCCGGTTAATAAAGGTAACACTAAAACGTTTTCTTGATCCACCAATAATCCAGTACCTTGGTAAAGTAAGGGAGAAATTTCTTTTTTATCACCAACAATTATTGATGCATCAATAAGATTATCAGAAGGTACAACAATTTTTGTGTGTTCACCATCATCTGTGATGTCATAATTAAGATGGTCAATTACATAAGCTCCTTCTTCATCAACCTGCAATTTACAAACATTTAAAACAAGTTTTTATTAAAACAAATAAAATAATAACCTCAAAACCACATTCAGAAGCGAGTTCTCTCAATACATCCCCTGTAGAACTACTACCAGCTATTAAAACGTTACCTCCTTCATCAATAAATTGAGTAATAGTCTCCACCGATAATGAACCACCAAATTCTTCAACACTTGGTGCGAAAATAATTAAATTTTGATACAAATATTCGTTATATTTCGATAAAGTTAATGCAGCATCATCAGCTATTTTAAACGTTAACGAATAACCCCTTTCTAAATAAAAAATTACAACAAAATTATGCCGCTTAAGTAACATAACCTCAATTTTTACCTTGTAAAGATTTAAAGAACATCGAATGTGTTTCTTTGATAACTTGGTTATCTAATAGGACTAGAGTGCTTTTAGAAGAGGCGTTCGCCCCTAATATTGACACGAAAAGTAATAACACGGAAATATGTAGATTCATTTTCAAAAATTAAACACACGTCACCACGTCTACCGGTACAAGAATGACAGCATAAAAAAAGGAGGAGAAATGACAGATAAACGGTGTGAAGTTCGTGTTAAGTTTGATAATAGATTACTTTACGTTGGAATTAATAAAAATATTCACAGGTGGCGCTAAATATGTTTAAATTATTATTATTATCGAGTAATGAATTTTTTTGAGATGATTATAAATCAACTGATTGAATCGAGTTTACATACTTTCTAAAACGTTCTTAACACATTTCAAGATTCAAAATTGCTTAAATCTATAATAATATTCTGTTTCTTTTGACAGTTTTCCTTTTTGACAGTTATACGTCAAAGCATAACTGTCAAACGTTAAGTTTTCAAGCATTAGTGCTTCTTTATTTGATTCACAATCAGATCAGCTTGTTTAGAGAATAGTTTGGATTCATTATAGTAGTATCCTCAATCAACACCATCTAACACTGGACTTAATCAAGATGCGACGATGAGTTTTCATGATTGTTATTATTAAGACGGGTGGTAAGTAACGTTACTTAGCATAAAATATAACTATGTTGCATATTTTTATTGAACTAAAACTAGAACTAACACTAGACCTAGAACTAGAAAGTATGAAAGAATGTTTCTAGTTCTAGGTCTAGTGTTAGTTCTAGTTTTACACTAGCATTATCACTAGAACTAACACAAGACTTAGAACTAGAATCATTCAGGTTTAGCCGTCTTGAGAGACGTGTGGCTAAATCCGAATGTTTCTAGTTCTCGGTCTAGTGTTAGTTCTAGTGGCAATGGTAGGTAACGCTAGTTAGCATAAGATGTTACTATGTTGTATATTTTTATTGAACTAAAACTAAAACTAACACTAGACCTAGAACTAGAAACATTCGGGTTTAGCTATACTGAGAGATGTTTCTAGGCGGCCTGCAACATCTCTGCTTAATCTGACCAATAGCAACCTTTCTTTTTTGTGTTTCAAAGTTGTACATCTGCAAGAGCTAGAGCAATGCTTTTAAGATAGGTACAGCTAAACGGAATGTTTCTAGGAATTCTAGGTCTAATCTAAATGCAAATGACCAAAAATACTATACAATTTTTGATTATAACTGATTCACCATATATCCTGTTCCTTTCGATCCTAGGATTCATCGCAACAAATACTCTTTGAGAAAATCTTTTTTTTGACTTATTTTCCGGTGCACATTTTAATAACAAAAAACCACCCCAAAGCTACTCACCTCTAGCAGCATCCAAAAAGAGATATCAAAACCGAGTTGAACTTACTCGATCTTGCGCACTTAACCCCCCATATCAAACATACCTTCTCTCTGTCTCGCTAACGTCGAATCCGGAAAAGACAAAACTGGTTTTCAGTTGGAAAACGAGAGTCGCGAACCGAACATCACACGACATGTAGAGTTGTTATAATACACGTTTGAACACGTTTCGCACTGAATGGAAATGAAAAAAAGATTGTTATTAATTAAGTTCCTAGAATAAAAAAACCGGTAAAAAAATAAAAGTAAATTTCGGTGGATGCGGCGGGGTTTAATAAATATAAATTAGTGTAACTAAAATAATGACCTTAATATAAGTTGTGGTTTGTTTTCATTGGGGAGATCTAAGATGGAATGGATAGGTGCGTTTGATAAAAGGTAAGTGATATTGATTTTTCCCAAAATTTGATTTTTATCTTTTGTTGAATAATTAGCAAAAAATATTGAGTGGGAAAGAATAAAAAAGAAATTAAGAAGTGAATCTCGTGAATAAAAGATCAAGTGAATAATCACTAAAAATTCCAAGCTACTTTCATTTGCATCGACGTCGTTTCGGCTTCCACATTATACGAGCTTTATTCATTCTATTTTCTCTTATTGGATGACTGCGGAAGATGTGAATAATTAAGTTCCTACTGCTAACGTGATGGATCGAGAGATATATAAAAATAAAAACAGAATGACTCCAATTCTTTTTTTTTTCCTTTTAAAATAAAAAATTAGGATGCCATTAAATTAAGACAACTCAATCGATTTCACACTAAAGACCAATTTAACGATGATTTCGAACTGTTTTATCGATCGCTATAAATCGTTTTATAACCTGTAACACGTTAAATCTCTTGTGGCTCGGCACTCCATTAACATAAATTAACGTTTCAAAATGACAAAATTTACTACAAACAAAACTTTTTTCCAAATTTAAACAGGAATTACAACAATTTACGGTTTTGTTAATTCAAATTAAATTGTACTTTAGATAGAATGTTTTTTTTTGGGTGTCCAAATAAAACTTAATAAATGAATAGCACGTAAGTTTTCGAAAAGTTAATGAAATAATATTAGCGCCAGTTATAATTTGTTCTATACGCGGGTTGAAACTGGAATTCAATTTCGTCACGGGTTTGGCCTCGAAAGCTAAATGGAAAAGCGGAAATCCCTTCGAAATCCTATCGTTTCGAAGGGAGAAAAGAATGGTTTTCAGACGCACTTCCAATCTCTCAGTGAAGTTCAATTGCACACAGTGCCCAATATCGATTTCGAAATAGCTGTTTTTTTTAAATCGAAAATTTTATATAGTAATTTTGTATGGGTATTTAACATTTTCATTACATTGAATGGATTTGATTTTACTCTAAAAGTTATACTATCTGGTTTTTTAATACCTGAACTATTGTCTTAGCAGCATAGCTGCCTCGGTTTCTAACTAATACTTATGCAATGCAAAAAGTGTCACTGTCAGTTTCTTTTTTGAGTAACTAAATCATTGCCTCGGTAGCATAGCTTCCTCGGCTTCTTAATAATAGAAATTGTAATAAAAGAAGTTGTACTATCTAGTTTTTTAATACTTGAACTATTGTCTTGGCAGTGTACTGCCTCGGTTTCAAAAAAATGCATGTGTAATGCAAAAAATGTTACTGTCAATTTCTTTTTTGAGTACCTAAAGTAGTGATGGAACGGATAGCGATTTTGCGAAAAGCCGGATGAGTGATGCCCATCCTATATTGCCACATTATTGCGATATTTGAATAAAAATGAAATTAATAAGAAAGCTGATAAGATATGTCAACTTATTTGGATCCAAGATACAAACTGAACTTTTATGATACTGATTTAACTAACGAAGCAACTCTAAAAAGAGGATTAATAATAGGTGATATTTCTACAAGAATCCTTCAAGAAATTAATTTTATAGCGAATTTTGAAAATAATCGATGAAAATTGCAACATCGAAAATTTTATCAAAACTGCAAATATTGTTTTCTCAAAAACTAAAAGTTATTTTTAAAAACGTGTTGGTTCGTTGAAAAGAGGACACTCTTATTAACACTTTGAGAAATTTTTATACTCATATTACAAGAAATGGATTTTATATAAATTTTTAAATCTTAATCGGCGAAAATTGCAAAATTCGAAAAAATTGTCAAAAATCATTACAAAAATTTATTTTTCAAAAACTAAAAGCGATTTTTCAAAACGGCTTTTTGCATTAAGAAGAGGATACTTTAATTAATAATCGAAAGTGATAACTGCGACAGTTCTGTTAGTAATGAATGTGATGATGAATTACAAGCGAAGAGAAGGAAACTAGACGAAACTGCAAGAAGAGATTTTATATATCGTATTGGGATTGTTACCATGAGGTTGCTAATGATAAATAAAGTTGTATTCAATGAAAAAAGTCCTATTACGGTTGAACTTGATTATTATCTGCAGTGTCCAACACCTAAAAGAGATATAATTCCTGTGAATGGTGGAGTACTCAGTAATAAGTTTTTAATATCCGGCCAAAGCTGGATATTTGGTAACTATCCGGTATCCGTTCCATAACTATTGCTAGTTCTAGTTTGGGTTTAGCCGTCTTAAGAGACGTATAGCTAAACCAGAATGTTTCTAGTTTTAGGTCTAGTGTTAGTTCTAGTTTTAGTTCAATGAAAAATATGCAACAGTCTAATGCTGAGTAACAACTACAACAAGAACTAATACTAGCATTAAAACTAACACTAGACTCTAGGTCCGAATGTAAACTCGAATATTTCTAGTTCTAGCGAAATTCAAGTGTGAAATAGTAGTTGCCTACCCATGCATGACGTCACGAACGGGCCTTGGAGCTGTATACCTGTTCACGTGATGAAGCAGCCCTCTTCGATTCTATTCTATTTTTATTTCAACAAAAATATACAACAATCTGACGCTGAATAATAATTAAAACTAGAACTACCGTTCTTGATTTATAGGAAGTAGTTTCTTGAGGTCGTTATATCGAGGTTTTACTGTATTCCAAAAAAAAATGTTATTTGTAATATAGATTTGTATATACATATAATATGGATAGTATTACTTTATACGAATTTATGATTAAATCGTATAGACCATCGAAACAATTCGTAAACGGCAAATAGAAGAATTTAAAAGCTTTCCGAATTGAAAACACGGTTTGTTACTATATATATTCATTTTTAGCCGACGTGGACAAACGATTGGCACGAAAAGGGGAAAATAAAACTAGAAGTTTTACAGGAATGGTTTTGACTGTTGTTGTGTGCGCGCTCAGCCCATTTATCAGATTACATAAACATATTTATCGGCGTTTGCAAATTGACGATGCGTACCGAAAAATAAAATATATCGTTTTTCATTTGCGTTAAATTAAAAAATATTCCGACTTGTTTAACATAGTGTGGTATATTTCCGTTTTTCGTTATTTATTATGAAACGTCCGATATTTAATATTAACATTATAATTTTTTTTTATTTCAGTTAATAATCTTTTTTCCGTTTTTAGTTATACCACAAAAAAATTTTGTTTCAAATTATATTTTAAAANGATTTTTCAAAACGGCTTGTTGCATTAAAAAGAGGATACTTTAATTAATAATTGGTGATATTTCTACAAGAATCCTCCAAGAAATTAATTTTATAGCGAATTTTGAAAATAATCGATGAAAATGGCAACATCGAAAATTTTATCAAAACTGCAAATATTGTTTTCTCAAAAACTAAAAGTTATTTGTCAAAGCGGCTTGGTTCATTGGAAAGAGGACACTTTTATTAACACTTTGGGAAATTTTCATACTCATATTCTAAGAAGTGGATTTTATACGAATATTTAAAACTTAAACGGCGAAAATTGAAAAAGAAAGAAAACACATTCAATGAAAAATCAAATAACAACAATTCAACAAAGTGTTAAGTTAAGCATCGAAGACTATTGTCTTAGCAACATAGCTGCCTCGACTTCTAAATAACACATGTGCATTAAGTATTCATTTCTTAACCTCAATTGTATAGTTACTGAAAATGTGGCTAGAAATCAGAAAATTACATAAATTGTATAGCGTTCTTAACTAAAATACCAGCAGAAACCCTAAAAATTTAACGTTGTCAGGTATTAAATATAGAAAAAGAAATAAACTAGACTGTAGGATTACTTTTTAAAAAATACATGTTAACTAAGGCAGTGCTATTATGTTGGGATGGTCCATCAGAAAGTAAGGACGCTTGATTAATCCCTAGACGGAGGATTTTCACAAGGGAAATTTAGTTTACACTTACCAGAAAATGAGAGTAATATAAATGGAAATGAAAGATACTTTGGTGAAATGATAGAAAATAAAGGAAGTGGAAAGGGAAATGTGAGCGAACTAACTTAGTAGATTATGTACAGGTATGTTAAATGAAATTTGTTGAATGAACGACGCCACATTTTAACTTTTAGATATCGTAGAAACACCAAAACATGAACTTCATTTTATATTAAACACGACTTTGAAGTAAATAAATCATCTTATTAAAATTTTATAATTAATCCGGACAACGCAACGTTCATAACGTAGCAATTTAAAGAGCAATAAGTCTTTATACAAGTTTGAAGTAAACATGTTGCTATGTCGTTTATTAACGCGTAGATAGCCGAGAATTTAGGGAATATGAAGTTTATACCTCAGCGTCTTTGAGATTCCCCCTCCTTTGAACTTTTGTTATACCAATTTAATTAGTTTCAGTAGGAATTCGCAATTGTTAACAGAAACCAAGATGAAGTTATGTAATCCATCGTTCAGTTTGAATAACTTTTCAGGTATCTATATATAAAGATTTTAAACTCAGTTAATGGTAGTTAAATGTAAGAGTTACGAATCCGTTACAAAATGAGGCAAGTTAGTAATCTGATACTGATGAAGTGGAAAAGTTTCGACTTTAAAAAGACATTCAAAAGATAATATCAAAAGACAGATAAATCCAATTAATTACAACAGGCTAGGTAGTTTATATCCATGTGGTCGGTTTTTTGATAGGATCATTAATCAACCTGAGAGAGGGTTTACGGAAATCAAATTAATTACGGTTGGGTTAGAATCGCAAAAGTGTTCAAAAAATCATCTGAAACGATATCTGCGTTTGAGTTTACAGGTAAAGTAAACTGAAATGAAAAAGTTTTCAAATTAAGGTTTATTTAAGAACATCGTATACCTTCAACATCGCAATAATATTTGGAAAATTGTCCGTAAAGGAATCTCGATCTCAAACGAGGAGAGTGAAGATGTGGGAGTTTGGAAATTCATCTCAATGAATGAAATAGGGGCGCGGGTGATTGCACGTTAAACGGAATTCTGAGCTTTAGATATCGATTGAAATAACGGTCTTCGCCATCCTCTCCA